TGATTCGAAACCTGAGGACCACACTCCAGGAGCTCTACAACCACGAGAGCTTCCTCCGCAAGCTCAACCAGGAGCTCATCAAGTCCATTCAGGACATAGAGGACAAAATGGCCATGAGTGTACGGGAAATGCTGCAGCAGCAGGGCATTCTCGGGGTGAGCCCCCCCCCCTTCTAGCTTCCTTCCTGTGCGGGCACGCCCTCTGCTGGCTACTCCCGACCCCCACCGGAGAAAATGCAGTGCTTCCCTTCCTCCCCACTTAGCTGGGAGAGTTCGGGGTTAATATTGTGTCTTGGAGCTTGGTGGAGTGGATCACAATAACACAACCTCAAATGGGAGGTTGCGGCTATCACTCCTGGCATTTGTACAGTAGAAAGTATCTGGTGCTGCCATTACCATCATCACTGCTGGCCAGGCGTCCACAGTGAGACGCCAAATGCTCTATGTACAATCATATATACCCCACAGCAGCTTGACAGGGTGGGTGCTATTCTTGTCCTCATTTTACAGGAAAGAGATGGACTAGGGGATTGAACTTGCTCCAGCTCATCCAGATAGCAAGAATCAGAGCCAGGGTTTGAATCCAGGCAGTCTTACCCCAGGATCTGTGCCTCTCTTGCCTTTATATCATTGTTTTTAGGGAATACAGTTGATTGAGGCCACTGTTAACTTTCAGGGGGGTGGGAGGAGAGGAGCAACTATAGTCCTATCTGGAGACCACTCTGCTATAATGAAACTCAGTGGTGACATGTAGGGTCTGTGGGTGAAGAGCAACTTGGCAAAACACCCTCCTTGTGCTTGGGTGAAAGAGTAGGAGGTCACAGGGACTGAGAGTCTGGGCTGGAGAAGAGTCAGAGAGTGGATGAATGATTTCTCTATGACTTCAGTGTGCCCAGAGCTGACCTGGAGTCTGAGATGAAGAGTAAGGTTCAGACTGTGGGGGTGGATTAATCTCTCAGGCTGCCATAGGAAGATACTGGGGTGGGGAGCTTCCATAGCAGTAGAGACTGGAAGTTGAAGGTCAAGGGGTCAGCAGGGCTGGCTTCTCTTGTAGCCTTTCTTCCTGTTCGGAAGATGGCCATCTTCTTATCATGTCCACATATGCCTTTTCTCTGTCTGTGTGGAGGGAGTGCTGCTGTCTTTTGGGGACATACTGGTCCTCTCTGGTGAGGGCCTGTCCTTGTGACCTCAGTCACTGATTTACTTCCCTAAGGGTTCTATCTCCAAGAGCAGATACACCTAAAAGCTTTGGTAGACACAGTCCAATTTTAACAGAGACCAAAGCCACACAGTTCTTTAGTCCAAGCAAACTTCTTGTTCACACACACACACACACACACACACACACACACACACACCCTTGCATGTGGAAGCCAATAGGTAGTGTTTATCAGGAGCTGTCCATATTCTTTATTGAGACGGGGTCTCTCCCTGGAACCGGAGGCTTGTGTATTAGGCTCAGCTGACCAGCTAGCATGCCTCGGGAAATCTGCCTGGCTCTAATACTGGGGCTATAAACCCACATCATCACACTTGGCTTTTTACTGTGGGTACTGGGGATTGAAGCCAGCTGAGCCATTCCTCTAGCTGCTTGGGCTATCCTGGGTGCACCTCTGGGCCCTGGGGAGCAGCCATGATGAGTCACCTAGCCTACACAAAGCCTTCCCTCTAATGGGGCCACAGGCAGTTGCAGTTAGCATTGGGTATGTGCTGTATTGGAGGTGAGGAAACTTGGGGAGTCTCAAAGGGTCCTCTGCCTCAGACACTGGAGCATCAGGAAGACTTGCTGGGGAAAGCCATACTTGAGCTGAAGCCTGCAGAGGTATGAACTGGTGGAGCTTGGATAAACTGAGTGTTACAGGCCAAGGAAACAAATGCCCCAGACATGGGGTCAGAGGGACCAAAAGGGAGCATAAGGAACTACAGTTGGATGGCTGGACAGCAAGGTGTGAATGAGCCAGGGATACAGGAGAGTCCAGTTTGCCCCAGACCAGATCATGGAGGGTTTTTCCAGCCATGGCAAGGAGTCCATTGAGGATTGGAGTGGGAGGTAATAGCTCTCCAGCCTCTCGTCAGGTTGCTGGCCTGAGCGTGGGTGGGGTTGTAGAAGTGCTCTGTGGCCACAGCCCAATGTGAGCTGGAGAGCCAGCAGAGGCTGGTGGTCAGCTGACCTCACCCCTTCCCTAGAATATCATCGACGTCTTGGAGTACTCGAACAAGAGGCGGGTGCAGCAGCTGAGGTCTGAGCTTCAGGAGTGGAAAGAAAAGGAGGAGAGCAAAGCAAATAGTAAGGGGTGACCCGCCCCCCTCCCCAACTCCCAGCCTCATCCAGGAGGTGCTGGGGGAGGGCAACTGCTTGCACTGCCTTTCTGACTCTACCAGGCCCATGCCGCTTGCTAGGGAGAGCACAATGCTGAGATCTAGAGCAAATAGCTTACAAGGAGTAAAGAGTACACAGGCAGTCTGAGACACTGGGGAATCCCCTCCATGGAGGAAGACAGGGTAGACATTATCTCTTACTCATTTGCTTTTTTGAGACAGGGTGTCACTCTGTAGCTCAGCCTGGCTTGGAACTCACTTTGTAGCCCAGGCTGGCCTTGAATTCTCAGCAGTCCTCTTCTCATTAGCCTCTCTGGTACTGGGATTGTAGGTGTGATCTATCCTGGATACTAAATTTTGTCTTAATCCTATCTTGGGCACCAATGTCCCCCTGTCTCTCTGGTCTTGCTTCCTCGGGGGCATGTATCTGAGGATGCTGAGATCCAGTTAGGGATAGTCTTGATGAGGACCACTCACCAGTCAGCAGAGCTGGACTGGTCTAGGGATCGTGCAACTTCTCATTTCTCTTTTCTGGGGCCTGAGACCCTAGCAGCTTCAGCTCCCACCACCTCCCACCTTGTGTGGGCACACCGCAGCCCACATCCTGGTCCACTGGCCAAGGGCAGCTGGGTTTCAGGGTCTCCTGGGAAGGCCCTCTAAAGGAAGGCCCAGATGTCTGCCCCCTTCTTTAACTGCCACCTCCCTTCCCCACGCTGCCCCTCCCTAGGCCTGCAGCAGGAGTTGAAGCAGCTGAATGCTGAGATCCTGAAGGCCCAGGAGGAAGTGAGTTTCCTGAGCACCTACATGGACCACGAGTATCCTGTCAGGTCGGTCCAGATAGCCAATCAGATACGCCAGGTGCAGCAGGCCAAGGACAGACAGCAGGTAAGGGAACCCCTGGCCCCCATACCTAGACCACATGGAAGGTGGGAGTGGTGGCCAAGCCCCTTCTGTCGACCCCCAGGATGAGCTGGACAACCTTAGAGAGATGCGTGAAATGGTCCTGGGACGTTTATACAAGATTATTCAGGAGAAGAAGGAGAAAATCCTGAAATCTCTGATGTTGGTGAGTAGTCAGCCGCTGTGGGTGTATCCAGGCTCTGGCCTGGCCCTCCTAGCTTTCCTGTCCTCTGCCTCTGGTGTCCCTGTCAGCCACCTGCCTTGCATGCTTAGAGACAGACTTTTCTTTTGTCCACAGAAAACCCAGAAGCCCTATGAGAAGATACTTATGATGCAGCTCAAGAGCAGCCACTGCATGAAGAGCTGCACGGTCTGGTTCAGGGAGGTGAGGGCACCAGGAAGGCCAGGCCGGCCTCGGCTCACACAGACCCATTCTGGTGCTGGCCTTCTTCTTTGACTACACCGTTGCTGTCACTCATCCTTCATTTCAAAGGGGAGTCATGCTGGCCTGGACCCTGACTCACTGGCTACCACTGCAGGCCGTACCCCCCAGCACCATCACACGCCACGCCACGTCACGGCACCTCCTCTATACTAACCACTTCCCTTCAGCCCTTGGCCCATGGTCAGAGTTAGGGAACGAGGCCCCACCCTCTCTGGTGGGAGTGTTCATCACCTGGCCCCATCTCTACCCATCCCCCCTTTCTCACACATTGTGTCCCTTCACCTTACCTGAAGGGGCCCCTTCTGTTCCTATACAGGGAGGTTACCTCTCTGTAATCCAGCACATCTCCCAGGCACGCACCTTCTGTGGTATTGTCCCTTCTCCCCAGGCTTGGACTTCACACTTCCTTTCTGTGTCTCTCCCCTCAGCTTATCCAGCAGATGAAGGAAGAAATACCCATATTAACTGCAGAGGTGCAGAAAATGTATGCAGAGATCTGTGACCCCCGAGAGGTGGTTTTTAAGGATATTCTACTTCGGAGACCCAAGTACGTAGTCCTGACTGCCCTGAGCAGGCCCGTTCCTAGGAAAGGCAGTCTGGGTAGGTGGCAAGAGCCTAGGCATGGAGGGAGGAGCCCTGCATGTGCCTCCATGCTGCCCCTAGCCTACACACAGCTTTCTTTGCCCATCTCTGGGGTAGCTGGACCAGATGGTAAGTTCCAAGGAAGACATGGGGCCAAGGGTGGAAGGATGTCTTTTCTGCTTGGCAGGCTTCTGTGCCCCAAGAGGAGAAGGTCTTTTCTTCCAAAATTAACATTTGGCCTCCTTTCCCCAGGATGAGGCTCTATTGTAGGGCTGGATGATAGATTGGGAACAGGTCAGATCTCTTCATGATGCCACCACAGGACCTTGTATGGTAGCAGAGCCCAGCACTTGCAAATTATATAATTTTCCCCTTTTGTCTCCCTGTCTCCTCCCAGGCCTCTCCTTGTGTCATACCCTCCCACCCCCCACCCCCACTTTGTATTTTGAGACTGAGTCTCGCTTTGTAGCTTAGGCTGGCTACAAATATGATTCTCCTGTCCAAGCTTCCTGAATGCTGGGGTTACCATGTATTTAGAGGATTTTCTCCAGGAGAAATCTACCCTCTAAGGTTCCAATGGCAAACCAAAGCTTGATTCCACCAAGGTTCCTCCTGGCAAACCAATGAGTTTATTGGGCTTAGTTACAGGGCCTGGGCCTCGAGGTCACTGACAGGAGTATATGTGAACTCAAAGCAGCCTTACTGGAAAGCCTGCTTCCAGAATGGGTGATGGCTCCCCCTGACTGTGTGGGTGGAGCCCTCTTAACACTGTTCTTTCTCACTCTATAAACTCTAGCCTCTCCCTGGGACCCTGAGGCCACATTTCTGGTTGGGAGGAGTGGTTAGATGCTCAGCTGAGGGCTCCATGACCCTCCCATCTGCCTTCTTCTGTGAGGGGATGTCATCAGTCAACAGAATGAGCTGTGATGATGTTTTACAATGGGGCACAGGCAAAAGTATGAAGATGGTGACAGCTTGGCTTAGAGGACAGTGTTGTACAACACCATGCCTAGCTGTTCTTGCTGGTTGACTTTCTCTGTCACCCATTTGCCATCTCCCATCTTCCTTCCTTCCTTTTTTTTTTTTTCTTTTCAGTAATGCTTTCGAGTTTATGAAATGCCAAGGAGCCTATGAATGAGAGTCATCCTTGGCTCTGCCACCACAGAGCCAAGAGGGGGACAAGACATTAGGAGACACTGAGCTCTGAGCACGGAGCTGCTGAAAGCTCCATGAACCTGGAAGAGCTTGTCCCAGGGCAGTGAGCTGGGGCAGTCAAGGAAGGACTCTCCCTGAGGATGTGACATTGAGTTCCTGCTCCCCTCTGATCTTGGTCCTTTTTACAGGGACAATAGTCTTTGACAACTTAATTTCTTCCCACTTTTGAGCTGTATATGTGTGCATACACATCCCCCTCCTCCCCAACACACACAACACACACACACACACACACACACACACACACACATGTCTGTGTATATGTTTGTGCTTGTGCAGGTTGAGTTTTGGGATGATGTCTCCCTAGTAACCACCAGGGTTGTAATGAAATACGAGGTGTGTTCTCTCTGCCCTGGGGTCCCTATTGATCCTTCACAGTCCTTTTTTGCTTCCTGCCAGGTGCACCCCAGACATGGATGTTGAGCTCAACATTGCTTTGCAAGATCCACTCCTCTTCTAGATGGAAGTGCCAGGCCACCTCTCCTCCCTACTCTCTTCCCAGCACAGGGATTTTGGCTGGTTTACTTGAAAGACAATGTCTCCGTTTTGAATCTGACCCACAGCCCCTGCTTCACCCTTCTCCCTTGATGCTTGGACCAGGCAGATACGCCCAGTCCTTGCTGCCAATAAAATCTGGGTTTGCGTTTGCCTGGTGCTAGTGTATGGGGCCCCACCTAGGCTTTGCTGAGGGTTAGTCTGCTGTGCTGATGACATCTGGGAGGAGTGCTGGAATGCTGCCTCCCCTCCTCTCCATGGCTCCCTCCTGGTCCAGTGGGAGCTCAGCTTCCCTTGCAGTGGGGGCCCAGAGCAGTGGAGGCCAGTGCCAAAGCAGAAGAGCCACTTCTTGAAATGTATTCACTTGGGATCTTTCTGGGTCCCCAGTGTTGATGCCCAGCTGTCTTCTGTCCTAGCTTTACTCCTCCCCCAAATGCATAGGGACATGGCCCAAACTCAAGCTAGTCACAGAGCCATTCGAAGCAGTACACCAAAGGCTCTCATCTGTTGAGAGCCAATCCCCCAAGTGACCACACAAATGTCAAAGCTGCAGACTTCTTGGCTCAATTTGGAACTACTCCAAAGGGCTGTTCTGTTTCTTTCCCTCTCCCTGCAGCAGCCCACACCTCTCCATGCCCCCAACCACACACACACAGCAGAGACAGAAATTTGTCCCAGGTGAAGCCTGTAGAGACAGGCTTGTCAAGTGGGGCTCATTTGCCGGATGTGTCACTCCCATGCCTCTTAGGCAGGTGGCGCTGTGCTGCCTTGCTTTGCCCAGTGCTTGGGATGGGACTCAGGTGCCACACATAGGAAGTGTGCTATCCTGAGCTATGGCCTCAGCTTTTTTTTTTTTTTTTTTTCTTTTTTGGTGATGGGGACCAAACTCATGCTAAACCAGTCATCTACCACCAAATTGCAACCCTAGCCCCTGAATGGGTAAAGCCCTCCAAAGGGGCATCAAGGTGGCTGCTTTGCTTTCTTTATGTCTGTGAGACTCCCATATGGACACAGTTGTTCCAGCTGCACGAGATGGGTGAGGTATGAAAGGAAGCTGGGATTAAAGGCGTGCGCCACCAACGCCCGGCTTAAGGAAGCACCTTTGATGGACACTGGGTATCTAGTCATTGGCTAAGTGCATAAGTCACAGTTTAAATAAACAGGCAGTGGTCTAACCCACCAGTGTCTCAGTTTATATGAGGCAGTGGCGCTGGAGGACAGTTGCACCCACACGCTCCTTGTTTTGACTGAGTGTATCTGTTGGCCATTGTAAGCAGTGGGGAAAATCAGAGGACCTGTTACTCACTGCTGAGTAATCTAATAGCTGCTGTTGTCCCTGAGTGTCCCCTGTGGGAAGAGGGCTTGCATGAGGGGCTCCAAGGTCAGGGTTTCTTAGAGGGTCCCAAGAGCTGCTGTGGTGTGCAGTTTTAGAGGGGCAATGTTATCTTGGGTGAAATCCTTGGGTGGGAGTAGGTGATGGCATCACAGGTGTGAGGGCGCTGGTCCTCAGTCTAAGTCACTAGTGTTCGGTGGGACATGGGACAGGGACTGGATTTTTGGATAGTCTTGAGGATAGTCTGGCTAGAGAGAGGCTCACGGGCACAAACATGTTTGCTGAGTATACGGGTGAGCTTCTCCTTTAAGGGACTTTGAGTACTGTATTCAAGCTTGCTGAGAGATGTATAGACTTACTAGCGGGGCAGCAAGATCGCCACTGACTCCTCCATCTTGTTGCTGGGCAGGGTATTTGCTTTCACCTTTTAGGGGAGTTCACTGTTGTTCTAAGTGATGTGGAGGCGCTTGCCCTGTGGAATTCCCACAAAGCTTCTGAGGCTCAGGCGATTCTGGTCATTAAGCTTTCACCAGGCCCTGGCCCTGTCTTGGTTACTTTCCCAGCTGCTGTGATGGAATACCCCATCAAAAGCCACCTAAGGGAGGACGTGTTCATTTGTGCTCACAGTTGCAGGGTACAGTTCTCCATGGCAGGGATCACAGTGGCAGGAGCTTGAGGCATCTGGCCACATCAGGTCCCCGGTTGGGAAAGCAGAACGGAGCATGTCTGTGCTCAGCTCATTTTCTGATCCCACCCCAGGCAATGGTGCCATCCACCTGTAGGGTGGTGTTGCAGGATATTTGATCAAACCTCAAACCCCGAGATTGAATTAATTGAAAATATCCTGAGGTAAATATCCTGAGGTCAGGAGGCAGAGCCAGTGACTAGCTGACAGGAAGTAGCCATAGAGGGTAAAGAGGGAGTCAGAAAGACAGAGAAACTCATAGGAAGTAGTAGGAAGTATGGCAGTCTTTTTTGGTTTGGCATGGTGGAAGGATACTCTCTGTCTTAGTTTGGGTTTCTATTGCTTAGAAGTGACACCAAGACCATGTCAACTCTTTGATTTTTTGATTTATTATGTATATAGTGTTCTGCCTACATGTATACTAGCAGGTCAGAGAGGGCACCAGATCTCTTTACATTTGGTTGTGAGCCACCATGTGGTTGCTGGGAATTGAACTCAGGTCCTCTGGAAGAGCAGGCAGTGCTCTTATCCTCTGAGCCATCTCTCCAGCCCCTGTGGCAACTCTTATAAAGTAAAACATTTAATTGGGGTGGTTTGCTACAGTTTCAGAGGTTCAGTCCATCACCAGCATGGTGTGGAGCATGGCGACGTGCAGGCAGATGTGGTGCTGGGTTAGTAGCTGAGAGTTCTCCACCTTGCAGGCAACAGGAAGTCAATGAGACACTGGACAGTATCCTGAGCATAGGAAACCTCAAAACCCACCCCCACACTGTCACACTTTCTCCAACAAAGCCACATCTCCTAATAGTGCCACTCTCTATGAGTTTATGGGGGCCAATTACATCAAACTGCCACATTCCACTCCCCGGCCCCCATAAGCCTGTAACAATATCATAATGAAAAATTCATTTATTCCAATTTCAGAGTCATCATAGTCTATAACAACCTCAACTCTGTTTAAAAGTCCAAAGTTCAGGGCTGGAGAGATGGCTCAGAGGTTAAGAGCACTGATCTGCTCTTCAGAGGTCTTGAGTTCAATTCCCAGCAACCACATGGTGGCTCACAACCATCCGTTATGAGACCTGGTGCCCTCTTCTGGTGTGCAGATATACATGGAAGTAAAATGTTGTATACATAATAAATAAAATCTTTAATAAAAAAAGTCCAAAGTTCAAAACCTCTTCTGAGATTCATGCAAATCTCTTAACTGTAATCACCTGTAAAAATAAAAAAGCAGATCACATACTTCCAACGTATAATGGTAGAAGATATACATTACCATTCCAAAATGCAGGGAAGGGCACATAGGGAGGAAAAACTGGATCAAAGATCAAAAACCAGGTGAGCAAACTCTGATCTTTGCACCTCCATGTCTGATATCAAAACTCTTCAGTTCTCTAACTCCTTTCAGCTCTGTTGACTGCAACACATTTCTCTCTCTTGGGCTGGTTCCACTCCCTGTTAGCAGCTCTTCTCTGGCATCTCCAGCATCTTGGGTTCTCCGAGGCAATCTAAGCTTCAACTTCACAGCGTCATGCAATGGCCTCTCTAGGCCTCCATTTAGGGACAACCCTGACACATGACTGGCCTTATCGACTTTCTTTAGGCATAGAGGCAAATTCTATTACCCATTTCTTCTGTCCTTAACTCTAAAGCCAGGACCCTGTGGCCAAAGCTGCCAAGTTCTGCTGCTTACTGGGGTTGGAACACGACACCCTTGTTTAATGACATCTTCACCAGCTTTGTCTTTCACTGCCTACGCTTGGCTGTCCTGAAACTTGCTCTGTAGACCAGGCTGTCCTCAAACTCAGAGATCTGCCTGCCTCTGCCTCCCAAGTACTGGGATTAAAGTTGAGTGCCACCACCCCTGCTCTAAGCTTTTCTTTAATTCCTTTTCACGAATTGGAAACTTAACTAGGTGGGATCTTGCTCTGAGGTCACCACTCCCTTTACCCAATGTCCTCATTGGCTTATCTCCTTGTGTTAGACCCCCGGAAAACTCAGGTATCCGGGGGTCCCAGGCCACGATCTCGGTCACCCCAATCACCAGGTGGATTCGAGAGCTTGATGCAAACTGCACGAGGCTTTATTATTTTTTTTATTTATTTTTTTAACGAGCTAACCACATGTTACCTCGGGTCTTTCACCCACCCGCCATGGCGGATGGCTAGCAAAGACAGCTCGAACTGCTGCAGAGAGAAATTTTGTAGGGCAGCGTAAGGGGAGTGTCTAGGAGTACCCACAGGCTCACGATTGGTGTGCCTCCAGGCTTGGAGGGCTTGCCCTGTGTTGATTGGCCAACTGGTTGTTATGGCCCATAGGCCCTCCCAGGGTGGTTGCTATGGTCTGCGCATCATTGCTGTGTGCTTGTCTGTAAAGCACACCCAGGGTCGTAAAGCATAGCGCCACCAGCTAACTTCTGATTGGTTCCTTGTCACGAGGCAGGCGTCTGACCTCTAAGTGACCAAGGCATGGTTATGGCAAGCACGTGTTACTATCGTGGCTGCCGAAATGGGGAGCTGGTCCCTTCACTGGAACACAGGATTTAGCTCCATTCCATTTCCTGGTACTCTTTTTCTTTTCAAAATTTACATTTTATAATTTACTCTGTTCAGCTTGCTCCTTTTCATTATAAAGCTTCATTAGAATTAGCACTGATAACCACACGACAGAGTCTATACTAGGCTGTTTTGAGATTCTTTTGCCAGTAGAATTAATCCAAAACTCTTCACTTTAGCCTCAGGTAGACTCTTCAGACAAGGGCAAAAGGCAGACACTTTCTTCACCAAAATATCCCAGGAAGGATCTCTAAAATTCTTCTCATCTGAAACCTCTTGTGTGAGCCCCCAACAGTTCAAATAACTCTTAGTAACTCTGTCTTCCATGCTCCTAACTAGTATGACCCATTAAGCAGTGCATAACCCAAAGTACCAAAGTACACATGGCCTACCACAGCAATAACTCAGTCCCTGGTACCAACTTCTCAGTTTTGATTTTTATTGCTGTGAAGAGACACCATGACCACAGCAACTCTTATAAAGCAAAACATTTAATTGGGGTGGCTTGCTTATAGTTTCAGAGGTTCAGTTCATTATCATCATCACAGGGAGCATGGC